CCAATCCAGGAAAACGACCAAGAAATCCGAATTCTGGAATCACGGTACTATTGCAAATATAATAATATACATATTCAACAAACCTCAACGGATTCTTCTCTGCAGATACCGTAGGGTTACAAAAATAAGGCGGTGCAATTACCAGCCTGAGGATAGAGCGCAGATCACTTCGCCTCAAAATCGATATCGTCACAATCAGATATCGACGGCGAGCAACCGCAAAAATCACAATGCCCGACCGAAGTCCGTGAGAGTTTTACAAATAGTTCAGTAAAACAAGAAATTTTCAGTTCATCTGGTCAAGGGGAATAAATAGGGGTTTTGGCTGTCACATGGGGTTGGAGACGGGAGCATATTGTTGGCAAGCTGGCTTCTGCATGGGTGTCGATTTGGGTCAGTTGATTTCCGGAGGGATAAGGTTCCGTTGACGATATTCGGATGTCCCAACATAAATGGGGGGTCGCTTACAAATTATGATGTATAATTTAGTTAGCAAAGTTTTTGTAGGACGACCGTTAAATGTTTGTGGTTGTTAAAGGCAAAAGTTATCGGCCTTCAAGGAAATGGCGAAATTGTCGAATTGATGAGTATATAGCAAGCAACTCGTGACCGGAGGTGCCGTAGCGTTACTCTGTGGGCGAGAAATTACTGGAAAATAATCTAAGTGGTTGAAATTCGCTCTGAAATATTTTCTATCCAATATTTGGAGACTGTGAGTAATGTGGTTCGAGCCTAAGGTCATCACTCGCTCCTGCTGTTTGGCCTGCTCGTTTCCCTTATGTGATGATGTGCTTTAGTGATGTGCTTTTAGTTGCACGAAACATGCAAGGTGATGTACACTTGTGTGCAGGACGGCCAGTAATGGGACGTACGTTTAGGACGGACGTGAACGTAATCATACGCATGAATATTGTTGAAAGCATTTATGGCGTGCATGTTCAAGTGATAATGTGGCAACTCTTCAGTTTGGGGTTTGACCAGCATGAGTGTGAGAGAGGGATCAGCTGCGTCTCTGCTGTTGTAAGCAGGTTGAATCTCTAGTATTTTACGGCCCTACTCGCAGGTTGAAGCAATTGCATCATTGTAATACCGGCTGCGAGGATATAATGAGCACGTGCCGGCAGTCTTTGGAGAAAAAGTTGCCGGAGCAGTGTGTCGCCAATTTCGTCACTAACCAGTATAATACAGATGCGATATAAGTACTGAGATAATTTACAGCCATCTGTCGTTTCGTTATTAACTAGCTGTTCGAGTCTTTTACTTTCCGGATGTATATTAGGGGGCGATCATCTTATCGTGTAGTTGGGTGTATGATTTAACACTACATGGAGTCATCAGGATGTCACACAGACACACCGCTGGCAAATTTTAGTACATCATGTAAACGTGGGTGGCGCCTTGCAAAACAAACTATGCCCGCAGCTGCGCAAACCAGATGCGAGAGTCATGTTGCCAGAATGGCCAAAGATAAATAGATATCACACACGTTGGGTACTAGTACAGCTGCAGTTCAGGAAATAACTTGTGTGGAAGTGTCTGAAGGCGAATGACACAAGTAATGGACGCGTTTTGCATTATGGCTACCAGAGCCACTGCATTACGGTCGAATATACACAAAAATTCATCGATCTGTTCGCCGGAGGGTTTGCAGTGCATGATGCTGAGGTACGTTGGACGCAGTTGCATTGTACCGAGCATGTCGAAGTCCGACCTTCTTTCTGCCCTTGAATTCAATTGACAGTGAACTCAGACTCCTCCCGTACGATGAGTCGTGCGTAGCTTTGAGTTGACCCAGTTGAATGTGCTGCGCAAAGTGACGAGCCCAGATGTTCTGCTACCTTTGTCAGGCATATATATGGGTTACTTTTTGGAATGAATGTTCGTTACATAAAACAGGAGTGAAAAAGTGTTTCGTGTGATAAACAAGTATGCGAGTGGTTGAAGGGAAATATTGGCGAGATGGTAGACAAAATTAATGAAAAAGGAACACCTAGGAGATTGTATGCCATACAATTTAATGCTCACCGACGTCTAGTCCGGATCATTTCTGGCCCATGGGTTCTTCACCGTTGACGAAAGTATTAAGCCGAAATCGAGGGGTTAGTTTTTCAAGCTCTGAGCATCCATTCCAGGTGGTTGGCATACGGAGTCATCCTCGTCTGGAGGTTGTTTACGCTGCATTTGGAATCCCATTCAAAGAGCTTTGGGATGTTTTTTGTGTGAGTCCTCGAGATGACAAGCTTACTGCCGAGCATATAGAGGAGTATTGCACGCCTTTCCACTTTTTCCTTTCAGTTGAACCGAAGTCACTGAATGAGAAGGATGAACCCGACCCTGGAAGCTTGGGCGAAAACCTCGGTCAAATCAACCCATGTATCCGTGTCTCCCAACCACCATTAGGATTGGCTTCCCTCCACCGGATTTAGTGAGCTCTTAAACACAAACCTTAGCGCACCTTAGCCTTTCGCTCGCTTCTTCGTCCATGAAGCCTCAAATCGGGATACTATTTCACTGAGCCTGTTACGCCTATGGAAATGTTGTTTGAATTATTCACGATATGGCATCATGCAAATAGCGCGCTTTAGGGAAAGCTCGTGATGACCTTCGGTCCCTTGTTGCAGGTGCTGCGAATTTGGACACCATATAGAGGGTACCCTGCCAGGAAGCCATGAGATTGCTTCTATGTGTGTTCTGTTTCCTTGCACTTGGAGGCAATTCCGCTGTTCTATTCATCGAAGAACCGTCAAATACCTTCGGTCTCGAAAATCAGAAACTTCTGCTTCGATGTGTCTATAAAAGTGACAAAAATGCTTCAGTCACTTGGTTCAGGAACGACGAGGAAGTAAATCCGACCACACATGAGGCTAAACCATCTATTGAATCTTCTGACGACGGGGCCACGGTTGCTTCTCTGGCTTTTCACCTTCTTCGGCATACTGAAGGTGACTACTTTTGCAATGTTTCTGCATCTGGTTTCTGGCTTGCATCACGCAAGGCAAGTGTCCGAATTTCATTTCTGGGTGAACAGTTCGTGTTGGAACCGCAAGACAAGACCGTTAGCGTTGGAGAGACTGTCTTACTCGAGTGTGTTCCTCCAATTGGACTTCCAAGGCCCCTCATTCAGTGGTACAAAGACAATGTGACCGTGCGTTCAGATGAGCGGATGCAGGTTTCGGAAACAGGAAGTCTCAGAATAGATAGAGTATCTTGGAAAGATGCCGGTCTCTACATGTGTGTCGCTGAGTCGTTTGCTTTCCGTCGCTACAGTTCTATGGCGAAACTTACAGTTCGACAGCGCCCCTACTTCGTTGAATCCCCTCTCAGTCAATCGGTCGGAATACATGGTTCCTTTGAGCTATCATGTCGGGTGGCAGGTGAACCTATGCCGATGATATTCTGGCGACGGGAACCATCGTTTCTTGAAATACCGTTCGACAGAACTCGGCTATCGCTGCGGGGAACACTTCAGTTTGCGCATGCCAGACTCGAAGATGCCGGTGACTACGTATGTCGTGCTGTAAGTTCAGCAGGTGTCATTGAAGCGGTTGCCCGAATAAGCATTGTGTCACCTCCTGGGTTAGTCCAGACCTCTCCTAGTACGGTGTCAATTTTGGAAGGTGAGCCCGTTGAGCTGCCTTGCAGTGCTGTTGGCTCACCCAGCCCGGAGGTTCGCTGGATTCGTAAAAATCCACTTATTTACTACATTGCCGGTTCAGAGGACCCCTCCGAAAGGATTTTAGCCACTCGAACGGGTGTTCTAAGTATCTCAGCGGCTAGACGGGAAGATACTTCTCTCTATGAGTGTCGCGCATCTTCTCCAGCAGGCCTTACTCGAAGTATCACGCGTCTAGATGTCAAAGAAAATCCCTATATGTATCCTGCCAGGTTTGGTGCTCTCTCTTCCGGTCGGATTAGCGTTCCTTCAGGATCGTCTGCGCGGATTACTTGCGAATTTCCAGGTGTAAATGGTTCCTCCACGGTTCTGTCACCAGGGATGCAGCATAATATGGGTGTCTCAAACAGTGAGGGTTTGTCAATTACCTGGCGAATCAATGGAGGTCCACTGTTACAGCGCCTTGGTGCGCCCAACAGGACTATTGTTGAGCGCTCTGGCTCTCTCGTAATCCATCAGGCTGGAAAACAGGACGAAGGTAACTATACATGCCTGATTTTCAATAAAATAAGTCGGCGATATACAAGTTGGACAACTCAGCTACTTGTTGATCAGAGAAATACGCACAGTGAATCTCAATCACACACGATGTTACCTGAAGCTACTAAAGTCCCGTTCAATTTGACGGTCATAGGTAAGGGCGATACATGGCTGATGATACAGTGGAGCGACGTACTGGAAAAGAGATATGATTTTCATGGGTATCGGGTTTTCTATCTACCCGTTATGGTAGGATTTAGACGTTCGGTCGCACTTGCAGGTCAGGACACAGAATTATCAGATGTCGTCGGAAAAAGAAAGGCAAAATCATCGCCGTCATTCGACGCCTGGTTAAGCTTGCCAGAACTACTGCAGCATAAACAAGCCAGGTTAATAAGGCTAACACCGAACACGGGGTACTGGGTTGAGGTCAGAAAGACTTTTAAATATGGTTATGGTGTTGGTGCCCTACTTCCACGCATTGTGTACACGCTGAGCCGACCATCCGAGATACGGCTAGCTAGCGGTGTATCTGGGAGCAGTTTGGTGTCGTCCAATGCAGAATACACCCTTGATGTGCCCTTCGGCTCTGGTAGTTCTGCGGCGGATTTTCAGGGTCTACTTTCCAATTTTCAAACCATCACTTTCCACGATGTATCTGTTCGAAGTCTTACATCTACGGAACTTGTAATAAGTTGGGCAACCCGATCTTCTATTAACATTCTTCAACAGATTGATGGTTTCAAGGTCAATATCAAGCCAGTCCCGATGTCCAGATGTATATCCACTGTCACTTCTACCTCTGCAAACAGATTATCGTTTTCGTATTCAGATGGACAGAATTCATTAAAGTTTATTCGACGCAACGAAAGGAAAGACTGGCCGACTCATCCAATGCACTGCAGCCTGTCTTCTGATGATTTGCTGGAAAGGATTATGCGCATGCCCAACGGCCCTGTTTCTACCGATGCTCAGGTCACTCGTGCGGATGACAGTTCCTCAAAACCTTCACCGCACACGGTGATCGTTATGCATGGTGTATCGCAGGTTAATTCTGTTACCAGGGCAATTGTTGGAGGTTTAGTTCCATTCACGTGTTATGAACTCGATGTGGAGGCCTTTAAAGATGACGCTGCGTATGGTCGCATCTCGAGTCCAGCCAGCCGTCCAGAGTTGGCCTTGACCTTAGATGCTCCTCCGAGCCATGCACCGAAGTTGATGACGGTCGATTGGATTTCCGACGCCGTGGATCTGGCTACAAATTTTACACCAACCATTCCAAACGGCGTTCGTCTCAGTTGGAGTCCTCTGGAACTCCGTTTATCTCATGGAGTTCTTGTGGGTTATGTTTTGCATTTTTTATCAAACCAATCGGACCACAGCCGATCCTTCAAGGTAAGTAGGAATAACAAACAAATCAGTATCTCTTTTGCCCATTTCGAGTTAGTTGTCAAAACGGGCTTAGTTAGCTTGGATGTTATGGTGAGGTGCGCACTTTTTCTGGTCGAATTTGGGACAGCATAGCGTCCAGGACTGAGGGTTGCTGAATCACACATGGCCTTTTCGTTTCATTAATATGAATACGGCGTAGGTTATCAGCGCAGGCACTAATATATTCACCCTCCAGTGGGTGCACCGAGACTTCCTGAATGAACGTGTACAAATTACACTAAAGCCGGCTCTTTTGACTTAGCTTTTGACGTAGCTCGCCGCTGCCTACTCCTGTTTGTTCGCTTGTGCCGGAATATTCGAATATGTAGTTCTAAAAAACCAAAAGCGCTCCTTTCGCACATAATCACCCATTAACACCGTAAACATCATCGACGGCATAATACTGATACTTCGCTGATGATAACTCATCATCGGCGTGCCCGCAACGCACCAAATAACCATTGGCAGCTGTTAGTTATTTCCCTCACCGATACTGGTATGCTTCGTTGAGGTAACGAGCCGGCACGCTTTTATTGGTCTGAAATTCTGTTAGAGAACAGGAGCTGGTTACTCGGTCGAATCCGGTCCATGGGTGATTTTTCCTGGATTGGTTCCAGATTGGATGATGCGAACGTTGTAAGTAAAATTCCCTTGGTGACCTAAATTTAGCATTGGCTTATAAGCACCACCCATAGGTTTGTTCACTTTGTGTATCTCCGTCTGGGTCTTCACATCTGTACGACATGTTGAAACCTAGCCAAAAATATTCTCGTCCCTCATGTGCAACGGTACAAAGTATGGAGGCAGCCCATCCGACTGTTCATTTGATTTTTTTGTGTACAGTGGTTTGGAATTGTAACGGTTTGTAAGTAGCTGAGAGTTGCCTGAAACAAGTTGCGGGAGGATATAAGTATTAGCGACTTGTGTTTGAACACTGCATCTCGGTGGCCCGAGCGGAAAGAAGCCTATTAGGTGTTCTATGGCTTGAACCCTTACCTCAATAGTCTGACGTACAAGTCAGTGGGTTGATGTGCGGTTTTTCTCTATGACCGTGCTCACTTCGACAAAAGACGTATGACCGTCAGGCGATATTTGTTCAAGTATTTCTGGCTTCCTAACAGCTGGGATAATGCAACCATTCGGAAGAGGTACCTCGTTGTCCTTAGACCTATCGTGGAGATCAGTACGATTCTTACTTTTAGTCTCCTCATTATTTGATTCACTACAGTGTAAAGTCCTTGTTTCCCAACATGTTTCGGCCTTTTGGATATGAGCATCACCTGAGCGACAGTGAAACCCCCAGTCTTATTTTGAATGTAATTTTAATTGTCGGGGCAATGTGACAACCGTTCGTCAGCACACATGGGTATTAAGATATCTAGTGTCTTAAATTCCTGGCGTAAGCCATTGTGCTGATGAAATTCGTGTCAGAAATTTAGTAGCCTTACAGCTTTGTTATCGAGCAACTATAGTAAACTTTTCACTGCCATGACGTGTGGAAAACAGATCAAGTTGGAGGTCGAGAATAACGCTGTGTGTATACTTCGCTCATCCGGATGCAGTGCCGTAGTTACTGAAGTTGGGCGTGACTAACATGTCCGTCGGTCGTGTGCTCTTCGCCTTTTATCCATACTGAGGTCGTTAGAGAAACCATTCTACAGTTCCATTGCCCGGGTTTCGTGACAAGGTTAGTGTCCTCTATGCTCGTCGCGGATTTAACTTGTATGCGACGATCAGCAACAGAAGCTGTGAATTTACTTCCATAGGCGAACCCAACAAGCTATCCAGACTCCTAATCGCTTGTGGTTCCATGTCCTTCAAGTTACCCGCAGAGCGACTGCGGTACCATATCTAAGGTGGAGTAGACCGTGTTACGTCAAAGAAAGCGTCCGTGTGGGCCATTTAAGCCTGAAGGCTTGTTGAAAGTTGTTATTCTGAAGCAGGCTTCACCATCGCCGTACGACAATCCACGTAAACGGACGGTCAAGGATTGCAGATAGAATATTCGATCCTTAGGGGCCATATCTTACAGTACAGGATTAATGGCAGCTAGGTTTATCCAAAGACCGATCTACGTCGTACACAAAACATTCCTCACTCAGAAGAAACATCTTCCGGCGTTGTTTATATGACCTTCTGTCTCATCCCATGTGTGGCAGTCAGGCGAAAGGAGACATACGAGTCACCTTGTGGTTTCAAATGTTTCGATAATAGGGTTTTCTAAAGTGGAATCTTTGTACTGGTTGCACGGGATGGTCTCCATGTTTGGCGATTTCAGGGCCAAAACTTAGGAGAACACTCGTAATTTAATTTATCGGGAGCTTGTTGCTCTGTGACTTGGCAGAAGTGTGTACGAGATTATGGGGTTTGGGTGTTTTCATTGCCATCTGCCTTCACAATAGGGTCACCGTAACCTTTTCTACGCTTGGATTGGGACGTTGCAAGAACTGGTGGTTAGCTGATGTCACTGGCGTTCGTTCTGCCGGTGTTTTCAGAAAGACTACATTAGATCTGTTGACGGTGTGATGTGTGAGGCTGATATCGCCTCGGCCGTCGCCTTTCATACGCATAGTCTGAGTTGTCTTTCCTCATGACCGTAAAATGTGGTCTCAACGAGCAACCAATCTTTGGCATTCTCGACCATTTCGTCGTCGATGTATGGAGCATTTACCTGTCTGCCCTAAGCATGAGACACTGAAGTTGTGACAAGACTCATGATAATAGTTCTAGTAAAATCTTCATTGTTTAGAATTCACAGCCAATACTAATGCATTAATAGTAAGCTGAGATGGCGATATGGCTCAAGTGTTTAAGCGCGAATTTGCATTCTCGACCATTTCGTCGTCGATGTATGGAGCATTTACCTGTCTGCCCTAAGCATGAGACACTGAAGTTGTGACAAGACTCATGATAATAGTTCTAGTAAAATCTTCATTGTTTAGAATTCACAGCCAATACTAATGCATTAATAGTAAGCTGAGATGGCGATATGGCTCAAGTGTTTAAAGCGCGAATTTACTGACCGGAAGGTCTGTGGTTCGAACCCGACCTCTGCCCCTCTTCTTCCCCTTTCTAGTCTTGGGCAACCTGGCAGTATCCCAGCCCTCGTGCTTCCTTCAGGTAGCGGGGCAGCTAGGCACCGGCAGGGTGTTACAGTTCGACTATTTTTCGTGATGATCTGATGCTGCTCCTTCTCTCCCTTCGTATTCCCACTGTATCGCATGTTAAATGAAATTTTACTGTTCGGTTGTATTTATTATTTTTGCTACTAATGGTGATGATGATGGCCGTGGTTGTGGGAGGCGCTGGTAATGGTGATAATGATATTGGTCATGAACAAAGTAGACTGGCATCCGGCTGAGCTCACTGCGAATGTGAAATCTATCAGAAACAACAAAAATCCTTTAAGTCAGAATCCCTCTCTTTAGTGGTAAGCATTGAACGATTGTTTACACCCCGATCCGCTCATCATGGAGTAAATCTAGTATCGTTCCCTGAATTCCAGATATTTTTCAACCCCAGTGCTTTCAACCGCGGCTACATGCCCACTACTGTATTCATAATTATTATTGTCTACCTTTCCGTTGAAAATCGTTATTTGGCTGTCCTCCCCTTGAAGGACCACGCGGATGGATCTGTTGGAGAGGGTTACTCTAAAACGTTCTCCCCTGTTAAAGGAATCTTCAGGGGACAGTCCGATGACCTGTCTCTCCAAAGAATAATAACCATTTTCGGGTCAAGGCGGATTTGCTTGCTCTGGGGTAGCGCGTTATCCAAAGAAATGAATAGGTTAAGTGATCTGTTTAGGGTGAGTTATGAAATAGATGCTTAGCAGAATGAAGACGTTGGCGAACCATCACACATGATTCCTCACAGGATATGGTGCTGATAAGATAAACTTGTCGTGGTGCGATGGATTATGCACTTGTATATCCCATTGAGCGGGATCATGCTTCGTCTATATCAGGAAGGTGCGACTCCTGAAAGTAACTCAAGAACGCCCGGAACCTACTGAGACCTTGAAACTCCACCAGAATCCCAGTAGAAAAGTCGGCAAACATCCAGGCTAGTTTAATCATTCCATCAATTTAGCAACAGCCGATGAGTGTGTGTCTGTTGTCTCTCATGTCAGATTTGTCAGTGGAACCAGGTTTGCTATCCCTTAGTCTTCCACTTTTAGGGGTCGGAATGTGTATGACAGTGTTCTTTTGCGTTTTGGGTCACTCCGGTAGTCTACTGGCGCTCACGATTATGTCCCAGCCAGGCTCTTGGGTCAAATACCTTGGTCGATCCTATTCGTCATCTTGTCTAGGTTGAGTTTCACGAATGCAACCCTCAATTAATAGAGGCAAAGCCATCGCATCGGACATCGCATAACATCACATGCTATTCGGGACATGTTATCCACGAAATACAAAGACGATCGAACAGTTTGTTGGTACTTCGAGCGAAAGGGATCGGTAATCACTCACTCCCCAATGAGCTACTCTATCACGATCCATGGAATATGTTGATCGGACCACGTACTCCTCCTTTGATTACTGTGTTTCACAGAACCCTTTTTCATTTAATACTACAGGATGGCTACCATCTAATAATGACAAAACCGACGGATTTTGTAATGGAGTGATTTGGCAAATAATAATGGAGTCCGAGCTAGAGATAGCCGAGCAGGTAAGGGGATAAATTATTTGCCGGAATGTCCATGGTTCCATCCACACCCTTGCTTTCCGATCGCCGCAATCTTGGTTTGAGCAACCTTCCAGTATCGCTCCCCATGCTTCCATACGCGACAGCAATGTACCGAAGAGGTGTCTAATGAGCATTTAGACAAAAAGCCAATGGTAGTGACAAATCAACCTCAGTTTATTACTTGAAATCGCTCCTGCATTGGATCCATTTCATATATTGCGTTCCTCGGGGTTCCCTTATGCCAAAAATGTTCAACGGAAGACAACCAGTCAGCAGGCAGCGTGTAATACTGCCGGAAATAAATTCGTACTCTTTCATGCTATAGTGTTGTGAAGATAGCAAGACGTTTCCCACAGGTGACAAGTGTTCCGCTATCTAGAAGCAGTAGTGCTGCCTTCACGAAAGGTAGGACGGGTAGGAAAAATTCGTTTCTAAAGTACAGGCTCCGGTCACCCAAGGATGAATTTTGACCGCCAGCAAACTATCGTATAGTGTCGAAGAAATTATTTGATTTTACCAAGAACCCAATGCGACCCCAAACTCGTCTCTTATGCTCAGTAGTGCCAGAATTCAAGCAACTGTATTTTATTCCCCGCTTTATTCATCTGGACCAAGTTAGTCAGGCCGATAAATCGTTGATTCCGAGGCAGGCCTCCCAAGGAAACCCTGCCAGCCGCTGTCTCTCGGTTCAGACCCTTGAATCAGCTATCAGGGAGAGGACCTCTGAACGAAACCTCTCATTATCTTAATGCTTCATGGGTCAGATTTGACTCAAAAGTTCAAAGTGGGATTTCCCGGTCACCTATGGGAATTTTGTTTGTTTTCGCGGCTCAAATTGGCCAACAGACAAGACTCTGCCAGACATTTTACCGAGCTCGAGGTAATTTAGTGCCTCAAGTGCGAAGCCACTGATCTGGAGGGGGGGAGGAGTCCGTGGTTGCCCTGCCCCTGTCTAGGCTTGGGCAACTTTAGAATACCTCAGATACATAGCAGCCATGCATCGATAAGCTGTCACATCTTGGCGGTTGATTTTTTTAGACTCTTTCCTATTGAAGTTGCTGTATCCCAAAAACACATACAAAACTTACATTGGATCGTACAACCAAAGCGAACTCAACCTCTTCATGGTTTGTTCTCCGGGTGTCCGGTAATCCCTAGGCGGTGGCTCATGAGTTGCATTCAGATTCAAGACTGAACACGCTAATGAATTTGCGCCGTTGGATCATCCAGCTCAATCAAAGTCAGTGTCACTAGCCATGAAGACGGAAACCTGTTTGTAAAACAACGGTAGTAAGTGCCGGCGCTTATTTGCTATAGCTGCTTAATTACCGTCGCACACACTAACTCTGAGCCTTAGTATTTCGGCAGCACCACTCCAAACCAGAACGATTGCTACTACTTCACCTTCATATTTGAAAGGTACGCAGTATTCGATCAGGCCACAGAGGTCAATGCAATTGCACAGAAAATCATTTCTAATCGTTTCGAGTCTTCCTGGTTAGTCTTTTGATGTCACTGTAATTTTCTGGCATGAAGCGCAAACCATGTGACGCAACAGAATTATTTTTTCCATCCGTATTTGTGTTTCACGTTCGTATTCCGGAATATATTCAAATGAATCTTTCTACTAATCTTTCCCAAATCTGCCTAAGCAAACTTTCATCAGGTTTTTGAGTTCTATATAACTGACCATATGGGTATGGTTCAAATCCGTTGTCTATTTTGGTATTTTTGTTTTTACTTTGTATCCTCTAATACCTGCTGCGAGCATACTCACGAATACAGTTAACCTCTTTGAAGTTTTGGTTTTCATAACGTATTTGTTATATTCACGTCAAATACTTGTCCTGACACGTCTTTGGTCTTCTTACTTGGCAGGTGCCCGCCGACGTTCATACTCGTGACGTGTTTGGTCTCGATCCCCATGTTGAATACACCATCTACTTGGCCGGTGTGACTTGTAGAGGCGAGGGTGTGCGTGGCCCAGGATATCGCCTGTTTCCTGCCTCTAGCTTGTTTCAATCAGCATATGGTGAAGCCACACATCCAGCGAACATATTATCGACGAAGTCAAAGTTTCCACCATGGGGCTACGGGATAATCATAGGGGTTATTGTGATTTGGATATTCTTCGGCTCAATGATACCCATACTGACCAGACGCAGTCCAGTAAAGCAATCCACCGACTCCAATAGATCATTTGATCCCCGGCACCCAGAAATAGACCGTTGCTGGCACTGGTGCATCTTTTGCGGGAACAGCAGATCTGATTTAAAGCGGGGATCCAAGGCTCCTACCATTGACAATCCGTTGGCAAGAAAGAGCGACAGCAACTCAAGCTATACATTTGCCACTGCTGTCCACAGGGATCAGATGGAGCTGGCTAATTTATTACAGAGAACTGATTCTCACCAAACGTCTGCTTCTGAACAACACGGCGGTGACGTACCGGGGGACCATCGGCAACTACCAGGCGGCTACTCTACGAGCGGTTCGAACTCTCGAGGTGACCCATCTATGCGTCAACTACCTGTCCAGCCTGAAAAGTCGAACTACCTGGCTGGTGATGATGCTGAAGTCTATGCAAACAGTGACCCATCGCTAGTCTCTGATCCGGCAAATAGCCTCATAATACAAAACTCTACAAGTTCTGGACCAATGTATCATTTATCCACGGCAGCCGTTCAAACCCCTCAACAAGTCTACTGGAATCGCCCACAACTTCCGGATTCCGTAAACGTGCCGTTTCCTGTGCCACCGTCATATCCCTTCTCAGATCCCACCAGTCCCAATTCGTTAAAGGCTTTCCCCACTCCTGACCTGTCAGGTGAGGTGACTAGCGGCTTTGTTTCACAATCCGGGCGCCCCAGTCATGACACATTCACACAGTTGAATGGAAGTGATCACCAGGATGTTTGCACGGAGGACTCGGTCCCACCTTATGCTAGTTGCAGTGTCCTATCAGCACCTCGGCTGCAGTACATCAGTTCGGATTTGTCACAGCCATACAATCTGGGTACCAACAAGCCTACGGAGGGTGAATGCCTCGTAAGTAACATATGAATTACATTCGTATTGCAGAACAGACAGAACTTTCGTCGAATCACATGTATTCTATCGTGTCGTTATTTTGCTCAAATCTTGGTGAATTTGGTTAGATGTTTCGTGCGGGTTGCCCACCTGAAATCAAAAGGCCTCGTACCAAACTGGACAGTAGGTAAATATCTATCTAACTCAACCTCTTGGTCCTACAGATTACGGGCCGAATAGAAATGACAGTCTATTTCTTGGTCAACTATACTTCATTTACAGCTCCCGTATAGCTAGACCTTGGTCTCGGACTCCGTCTTCACCTGCCATCTTGCCATCATCTAGGCCCGTGTGCAACACTATTCGTGCGGAACACACATAAGATACGTAATCTGTTACGTTCAACAGCATTCAGTTACTCAGCGCATCCAGTTGGTAGCCCTGTTTAGCTCCAACACATTCCGGTAGAAATGCCTAGTGTCATCATCGTCATTGAGAGAGGAACCGTGGTGTTTCACTGTCGATCCCAGTTTATACTGGGAAGAATAAACAATGGATCAGGGCCACCTAACATTGGCCCACTACAAACATCCGAGATACGTGCACCTCAAACACTCAGTGAGACAATCTGGATGGAAACTGACAGCATGACTGTCACTGACATAGGTTAGCCGCCATATCGTCCAGTGTCTCCAGCTTGGCATCACCATTGCGAACAATGACGTCACCTTCAACCAGATTTTCGTTAGCACTGATTGAATTTCGTATGCTTACGGCGCAAGCAAATCTGTTCACGCCGCTAGTGTTCCTGTGTCTGATTCAGCCAGTATGAAAAGGATATCCAGCGACCGCTGCCCCGCATACTACATTTTGTCAGGTATCGTCCGCCCCACGGAAGCCAATCCTGATTTCTCCATCAGTTGCTTTTTACCATTGTCTACTTGTACCAGGGGCGCACGTAGCAATATACATGTCCAGGGAGACCACACGACGAGCATGTAGCTGCGGCGGACAACAGCGGCTCCTGTAGCCTCGAACCGATTGTTCGAATCTAGCCCTGGCTTTTTGACTGTTCCTGTTTAAGCTTGGGCAACATGATAATTTCTTAGTCCTCACGCTTCCTTCAGACTACATCGGACCCATCCATCGGAGGGCTTCCACAGCTGAAAGGTGATATTTTTCGTTTTGTTCAAATGGAAAAGTAGTGACCCGGCTTTTATAACATTGTGTTCTCGTAGTCCATCGCACTTAGAAAATGAGAAGACATAAGTCGATTAGTTTCGTTGCCAGCTTTAAACGATATTTGTAGACAAATAAAAGGGCATCATAGAGGCAGATTTATTAAGGAGGAAATTTTGTTTTAGATTATAGTCGAATCAGCGTTGTTTCAGGGCAGGTGGATAGATAGAATTTATCTGACTTTGTCAACGTTGCTTCACAACTAGTCAGCAACATCGCGTTCTGATCTTCTAAAGTTGCTAGCAAGGTTGACTATGTGACGTGTCTTGTATTTGTTTGGCACGATTTGACCTCCACTTAAGTGAGTCTGCTCGTTGTGTTTCAACTCTGAAAATTTCAAAAGTAGTCTAGAATCTGTTGAAGAATCTTTCCATTGTTTTTTATTCGGATTAAGGTAATAGCCAACTTAGAGTCATTTCACAGTAGAATTGCGGTAAATCATCTAGAAAGGACAACTCACACTCAGTGACGTTTCTGTCAGCATATTAGATTTCCTTCCTTGAATTTCTGC